AAATATAAATTGAGTATAAAATAAACAAAATAGAAATAAAAATATGGTGGGTCAGCCCTGTATAAAAAGTTAGTAAGACCCACCATTCTGCAAACAATAAAGTTAGTATAATTTAATCATAAGTAAGTTGTTGAAGAAGTATAAAAATGCACCGTTTCACGCTTAAATAATTCAAATTAACCAAAACTCAAAGAACAAAAGTTATAAGGAATCAAATTTCTTAAAAGGCATCTTGAACGAATTTAGTAGAAACTGAATAGGTTGAGAGAAAAACTTAATAGAAAATTCTAAACGAAATTCGATCGAAAAACCTGGAACTGAAAATGAAAAGAAACTGCTGTAAGATGAATTTTTTCAGAAAAGTTCAAAACATGAAAAGTGTTCATAATAATGTTTTACTTTATTTTATACGAAACCAATAAAAATGAGCATGTTTCGTGGGTTAAAATAGCCTCTAAAATCTGTATCGCTAAAATGAATCAAAACTACTATAACCAAGATCATCCGATTATAAGTTCTAATCGATCTTTTTAATAAAAAGTTAAAACACAAAAGTTGTCTAGAATCACGTATACATGCCTCTACTCAAATTTTATAATTTATCGAGATCGTTTACTATTTTTCAAGATTTACAAATCAAACAATTCACACTATACCAATAAACTCATATGTAATTATTTGTACCTTAATTCCACTACTTCGGCCTCCACTTCCGGCTTACACATATATCCCATGTGCCTCCCATATATCTAACACTGCTCTGAAGCCATACTTGCACAAGGATATCGTCCCGAGTTTGACCCACACTTCCCGGATGGTTAGCATATATGTACGCGTGTAAATCAAAGCACTCGTCTACTCATGAGAACGAGGCAACAATATATATATATATATATACAAAATCTCTCATCTACTCATGAGAACAAATATAAAAATGGCAAGCTTAAGGCATTCAAATAAATATCATAATCCTCACCTTTTTTTTTTCACTGTTTTTTTTTAACACTCTTTCTTACCAACACTCAAATAAAACAACAAACCATGAAGTCATAGTGGAGTGTAATGAATTTATCTATGAGTTCCTAATTTATTTTAATTTCATATAACCATGAGTGTGATTACAACCATAAAATAAATCCATATAAAAACCCTACACCTTGCATATACAACTAATCAAAATAATTAAAATCAATCAATCATCTAAAAACCCTAAACCTTACATACACAACTAATCAAAATAATTAAAATCAATCAATCATCTAAAAATCCTAAACTTTTACATACACAACTAATCAAAATAATTAAAATCAATCTATCATCTTTATGTAAATACAAAATCAAATTAACATCAAATAAATAACTAAAAACAACGAATTAAACATAAATCAAGGGAAGTGGGTTTTGTACCCACAATTATTTTTTGATGATCAAAGAAATATTTGGAGAATTAATAACGCTACCAAAACAAAACCCTAATCTTTTTTTCCTTCTTCCCTTTCCTCTTTCTTCCGCCGTTTCTCCTTTTCTCTCAGGAACTAATCTCCTTTTCTTTACTTACCCAAAAAAAAATCTCTTCTTTCTTTGATTACTCCCTCTCTCTCTCTCTCTCTCACACACACACACACACACTCTCTCTCTCTCTCGACTGCTCTACACCACAAAGCCCTTTGTTTTTTTTTTTGTTTTGCAAAATAACCTAATTGACATTTAGTATTATATTATATTTTATAAATACCACATAAGTACAACATAAATAAGTATGATATATATGTTTTATCAATATATAAAACACTTTTTAAAAAATAAAATAAAATATAAATGTATCAATATTCAGATTAGTTACATAAAATTAACTATCACATTAAATTAATTAAATACCACATTAAATTCTCATGTAACCACACAATTAATAAACTCAAAAATAAAATAAGATAATAATAATAATAATAAAATAAATAAATAAAGGCTTACGAAAAATCTGGGTCGCTAACAAACGGCTATTAAATCAACGATGTTGTATGTGACGGAATGTTAGGCAACTAAGAAACAATATGTAGATAAGATGAGTGTTACTGAGATGAGGATGCTAAGGTGAATGTGTGGCCAGATTAGAAAAGACAGAGTTGGGAATGAGTATATTCGAGAATGGGTAGAAGTAGTACCAATAGAAGATAAGTTGAGAGAGAATAGATTGAGATGATTTGATCATATACAACGGACACCAACAGAGGCAATAGTGGAGAGATACGATACAATGACAGTAGATGGTAGTGTTAAGGAAAAAAGTAGACCTAAATTGACGTGGACTAGTGTAGGAAATAGAGGTATGAATCTTTTTAATTTGACTAACGAAATAGCCTTGAATAGAGTTGAGTGGAGAAAAAAAACTCATGCAACTGATCCTATTTGATGAGACTTAAGATTTGGTTTGATTTAGTTTGATTTATTTACCCTTTGAGATTTGTCCATTAGGTTGTGCGCAAGGTGTGCACATCAGATGCGTTGATTTGCGTGTGGTGGAACATATGTTGCATTTTGCATTATATTTCATTTTGTTTTTTGCAATTAAAACTTTTTTTTTTTAGATAGGGCAATTAAAACTTTAAGATGTTACAATTTGTGCTTTATGTCACGACCCAAACCCGCTCCTATAGGTTTAGCATCATGACCGACCAATAATCATAGATTACCTACGGCCTCCATACAAATAAACCTTTGAATATAAAGTACGGGGCTTAGTGGAAGTCTAAAATGACATAGAAATTATCCATTGAGCCGTGCGTATATGAAGAGAACTAGTATAATAAGCAAAATTTGTTCCAAAAGTACATTTATCACAATTGTACAAATTCATTTCTTGTAAATATACAAACCCTAACTATATACAAATACAAAACCACTGAACAAACAAAGAGCGATTCAGCTAGCATGGCTCCACCTGAGGCTGATTACTTTACTTGGAAGCTCCTTAAAAGGCTAACCCGGGTAGAATCGAGGCTTTCTTAACTCTAATGTTTAGTTTGCCCACCTACATATATATAAATAAGTAGTGAGCTAGGGCCCAGTGAGTAATAACACAATAAAGAGGTTATGTGAATGAAGTTCGATAACATGCTAATCAAATTCTCGTTTCAATTCTTAATATCTAACAAATTTCATGGTCGATGTCATGCAATATCAAATTAGGTGGCACACCTATGAACAATAATATTCCAATCACTGTGAAACGTAAACCAATGGATCGCGAAGGGTAAAACCAATGGACCACAGAGGATAAAACCAATGGACCACGCTACAGTTTCATAGGTTAACTTCATTCATCGAAGGAAAGTGACATTTTAATCAACCAATCAATCAAACACGTAACAATTTCGGAAACAGTAATCATTTCAAAAATAAATATAATTTGAATATATCTTTATAAGGTTACTACTCACAGTGGTTTGTGTTGTCACTAAGCCTCGGACGTCCACCTAAACAAAACACATAGCAGAAGCACAATTGAAACACCAATTCTTTTTAATTCAATTCTCCTCATGTGTCTCTAACTTATTCTATGATTATATGAGTCCATTTGGTGCTTAAGGATGCTAGAAATGACATAAGAATGCAGTTATGCACTTAAAAGAGTTAGTCAAACTTTGCTGAAAATAGGGTTTCCGCTCGAGCGCAACTTCCTTTGCTCGAGGGGGGTTCAAAAATAAGGGTAGTCGCTCGAGCGGTCTGTAAACTTGGCGAAAGTACTGGTTGCATGAAATCTCTGCTCGACGGTCGCTCGACGGAAGTCTAAGTGAAAGTGGTCCTCGTTTGAGCGCCATTTTGGTCACTTGAGCGGTCTGTAAAATTTTGCAAAACTTTTGGGAGCTCAATTTTCATGCACGAGCAACACTTCCTTCGCTTGAGCAAACATGACAAATTTTGGAATTTTCAAAACTGTGTTTGAGCTTCAAATTTGGTATTCAAAGGTTCCAAACTCGTGTTTTAGGTACAAAAACATGGGAAAACATTACAAAACATGGGAACATAGTTAATTTGAAACCAATTGTTCAAAACATGGCAATTCTCAATCAAAAACCTCAACATTAAGTTATAAGGCAACTTTGACTGAAATTGAGTTTACATTCCTTCAAAACATAATCAAGTGATATGAGAGGTATGAAAACGTGGAGGATTCTTCAAATTGAGGTGTAAAAGTGCCATGCACGTAGGAGTTTTATGAATTCTAACTCAAATTATGCATGCATGTACATGATTAACTCTTATCTTCCAAATTCAAGGTGATTCAAGTTTTTACTAAACAATTCCATGTAAATGAACTCAAAACTTAGCTGAATTCAATTCCTACATGTTTCATTTTCAAGGATTTAGGTTGGAGATCATACCTAGGACTTGAATTCAAGTGTCTTATAGTTTAATTCTCCAATTCTCCACAATTTCCTTCAAGTTCTCCTTCTCTATCTCTAGGTGTTGAGCTCCCTCTCTCTCTCTCTCTCTCTCTCTAATCTCAGCCAAAGGATGTATATATGAGCATATAAGCTTAATTAGAGCCTTATATAGGTTACAATTAACTTAGCCTAATCAAGGTTGATTATTATTAACTAAGTAGGCTTAATTCTAATTAATTCAATCAGTTCATTCTAATTATTTTGATCCGAATCAATTTTCAATTAAAGTTTTCATAAAATTCTAAATATTCTAATTAGTCCATTAGCCTAATCAATTTTAGTTTCTGAAGTTGTCTAGGCACTCAATTTCCATCTCTAAGTTGTTGATTCGAATAGATATTCCATGTGATAACAGATAACTACAAAATTAAGCATGTAATTACACAATTAAGCATGCAATCATGCAATTAAACTTATTAAAATAATATAATATAATAGTTCGGAGGTCGGGGTCGCTACAGTCTCTCACCCTTAGAAAGTTTGGTCCTTCAAACTTAAGTTACCTTCAGATGGAAATAAATGTGGATATCTTTTCTGCATCTCTTCCTCTTTCTCCTAAGTGGCCTCCTTCCCATAATGTTCTTTCCACTTGACTTTCACCATAGGGATAGTTTTGTTTCTCAACTGTTTCACTTGCCGATCAATGACTTGCACGGGCCATTTTTCATACATCATGTTCTCATCTAAAGCAATCTGGTGGTGATCAATCAGATGGAACGAATCTCTAAGATACCCATGAAGCATGGATACACGGAAAACATTACGTACTTGTTCCATTCCCAGTGGCAAAGCAATATGGTAAGCAACAGGACCCAATCTCTCGAGAATCTGAAACGGCCTAATGTAGCGAGAAGTTAATTTTCCCTTTTTGCCAAATCTCATCTGCCCTTTCATCAGTGTTACTTTGATAAATACATGATCTCTCGTTTCGTATTCTAAGTCTCTTCTTCATTGATCCGCATAACTTTTCGATCGGCTCTGTACAGTTTTGCGTCTTTGCTAGATGATTTTGATTTTCTCGGTCGTTTCTTGCACAAGTTCGGTACCATAAATAGCCTTATCACTAACTTCTGTCCAATAAATTGGCGACCTACATTTTCTACCATATAACGCCTCATATGGTGCCATACCAATGCTTGCATGAAAACTGTCAGTATAAGCAAACTCAGCCAATGGCAAATACATTTCCCAACTACCCTGAAAGTCCAAAACACACATACGAAGCATGTCTTCTAAGGTCTGAATAGTTCTTTTGATTTTCCAATCGGTTTGAGGGTCAAATGCTGTACAAAACCTCAATTCTGTTCGCATTGCATCCTGTAGACTGTGCCAAAATCTAGAAACAAATTTAGGATCCCTATCTGACACAATAGACACTGGAACCCCATGCAAGCGGATGATTTCATCAATGTAGATAGTAGCAAGTCTATATGTAGTAAATGAAGTCTTTACAGCGAGAAAATGAGCAGACTTAGTTAATCTATCAACTATAACCCAAATAGAGTCCATACCTCTAGGTGTTCGAGGTAGGCCAACAACAAAGTTCATAGTGATATGCTCTCATTTTCATTCCAGGATAGGAAGAGACTAAAGTAAACCTGCCGATTTCTGATGCTCTGCTTTTACTTGCAGGCATTGCAAGCATTTAGAATTGAAGTCGGCAATCTCCCTTTTCATGTTGGGCCACCAATACACTAACTTCAAATCTTGGTACATTTTGGTGTTTCTTGGGTGCATAGACAACATTGACTCGTGGGCTTCCTCCAAAATTTTTCTTTTCAAATCCGCATCATTTGGAATACACAATCTCCCTTGAAATTTCAACACAGAATCTTTAATTATGAATCCCAGTTTAGGCTTGGTGTCAAATTCATCACAAATCTTCTTCAAAAGCTCATCATTCACTTGTTTTTGCTTAATTTCTTCAATAATGGCAGGTTGTGCAGACATTGCGGCTATCAAGCCATCTTGTTCAAAAGGCACCACTTCAATTTTAAGATTTTCAAACTCTAGTAGCAGTTTTCTTTGATCTGTGAGCAAATAGGCAAGATTTCCCACATTCTTTCTGTTGAGTGCATCTGTCACAGTATTGGCTTTGCCCAGATGATAATGGATTTGCAAATCATGGTCTTTGATTAACTCCAGCCATCGTCTTTGACACATGTTCAATTCCTTATGAGTGAAAAATTATTTTAAACTCTTATGATCTATATACATTTCGCACTTGGCCCCATACAAGTAGTGACGCCATATCTTTAATGCAAACACAACTGCAGCAAGTTCTAGGTCGTATGTAGGGTAATTCTTCTTGTGTGGTCTCAATTGTCGAGAGGCATATGCAATCACCTTGCCATTCTGCATTAAAACATAGCCTAAGCCCTTATAAGATGCATCACAAAAGATACAAAACCTTTGGTACCTAAGGGAATAGTAAGAATTGGAGTTGTGGTTAGTCTTGTCTTCAACTCTTGAAAGGCTATTTCTCTCTGATCCATCCACTCAAATGGTTCCCCTTTTTGAGTCAACTGAGTTAATGGCACAGCAATTTTTGAAAAAATCTCTAACGAATCTCCGATAATAACCTGCCAATCCCATAAAACTACGAACTTCTGATACATTAGTCGGGGTAGGCCAATTAGTGATTGCTTCTATTTTATAAGGATCAATAGATATACCATCCCTATTAATGATATGTCCCAAGAATACGATTTCATCAAGCCAAAATTCACACTTTTTGAATTTCCCATACAATTGTTTTTCCCTAAGTATTTGAAGGGTCAGTTTCAAATGTCGTTCATGCTCATCTTTACTTTTCGAATAAACCAAAATGTCATTAATGAATACAACAACAAAGTCATCTAGGAAAGGTTTGAAAATTCTATTCATTAAATCCATAAATGCTGCAGGCGCATTTGTTACTCCAAAAGGCATGACTAAAAACTCATAATGTCTATACCTGGTCTGAAAGACGGTATTTTCAATGTCCTTAGCCTTGACCTTCAGTTAATGATATCCTGATCTCAAGTCAATTTTTGAAAATATCTGTGCCCCCTGCAACTGATCAAACAGATATTTATTTTTCACTGTTACCTTGTTGAACTCTCTGTAATCAATGCATAGTCTGAGAGTGCCGCTTTTTTTCATTACAAAAAGTATCGGTGCACCCCATGGTGATGTACTTGGTCTGATAAACCCTTTCTCAAGCAATTCCTGCAACTGAGTTTTCAATTCTTTCATTTCAGTAGTGGACATATGGTAGGGAGTTTTAGAAATTGGTTGTGTGCCAGGTATCACTTCAATTGGAAATTCAATCTCTCTATCAATAAGTTGGCTAGGTAATTCATCTAGAAACAGATCAGGGTAATCGCTTACCACTAATATATTGTCTAAAGTAACGTCCATAGTTGGTTCGGTTATTACACTACACAAATACCCTTGACAACCATTATTCATTAGTTTTCGGGCCTTCAAGGTAGATATAAGGTATGGTGGTGGAAGCACCTCTTTTCCCTTGAAATAAAATTCATCTTGTCCAGGAGGTTGGAACATCACTCGTTTCAAAGCACAATCAATAGTTGCATAGTATTTAGCTAGCCAATCCATACCCAAAACAACATCAAAATGTCTCATGTCTAGACGTATTAAATCAACATACAAAACAACATTCCCAAGAAATAATTCACATGCAGCAAATACAATTGAGTATAACATAGATCCCCCCGTAGGTGCAACACATAATATATAACTCAACGTTTCCATAGGTCTATTCAAAGTTTCGGCAAAAACCATAGAAACAAACGAATGTGTAAACCCTGAATCGATTAATGTATAAGTAGGTTTACCACATATGGAGATTGTACCTGACACTACTGCTTCAGTATTTTGAGTATCCCTCGGAATTAATGCAAAAACCCTTCCTTGCCTCTATTAATTTCTTGTCGTAGCGGGTGTTGTGTTTGTTCCTGTTGTTGGAGTAGATCTAGCTGAACTTGCAGTACCATGATTCCCACTTTGATGTGGTTGTGTACAATTCCTTGCGATCTGTCCCGTCTTCCCATAGTGATAATAAGCCCTTGATGTTCGATAGCAAACACCCCAATGCTTCTTTCCGCAAGTAGCACAAGTTGGTACTGAATTACCACCTTGGCTTGAACCGATATTACTAGAACTCCTAGATTTTAACTTCTTGTTTGTTGATGTTGCCCCTTTAAAATTCTATTTTTTGTCCTTCCACTCAAAATTCTGTTTACGATTAGCCATGTTACCCTCTGCTATCAGTGCCTTATCAAGTACATCCACATATGTCGGCAGTTTGAGCACATTGGTTCTATCCAGAATTGGGTCATGCAAACCTACTCAAATTGTCTAGCTTTCTTGTAGTCTGTATCTACCATACGAGGTGCAAATCGGGCCAGGTCTGTAAACTGAGCCTCATATTCAGCAACTGATTTATTTCCCTACTTGAGTTCCATGAATTCAACTACTTTTCTATCCTGCACACATTGTGGAAAGTATTTCTCGTAAAAGATTTCCAGAAAACGAGCCCAAGTAACATCTTTATTCTCATGTCGAACCAACATCCACCAATGCCTTGCATCATCTTCCAATGTGAATGTAGCTAGTTGTACCTTCTGAGCTTTGGTACATGGGAACACTTCAAACAATTTTTCAATCCCTAAGACCTAAGCTTCAGCTTTCAACGGTTCAATTCTGCCATGAAACACTGGTGGCTTCATCTTTTTAAATTCTTTGGTCAAAGCAATAGTATAGTTCTCCGGCTGACACCCTGGAGCTGGAGGTGGCACAGGCATTGGAGGTGGGGGTGGTGGTTGTTATTGTTGATGTTGCCACTGCTGTTGTTGCCTTATGGCTTCAGCCATGTCCTGCATCATTCGTTCCATTCTATCCAGTTTTGAGGAGGTTGCCTCCTCTAGCTCATTCCTTGTCCTCACCATTTTCTATATAAAATTTGTATTATGATAAACACGACAAACAAAATATGTATACATGTACAAATTCAAACATGTAATCATACAAATTGTCTCACTCTAGTATTTAATTACACATGAATGCAATCCTGAAGTCTCTTCTAGATTCTCTATAGCTCAATGAATAGGTGAGTGAGGTATAACTCATGCTTTGATACCACTCTGTCACTACCCAAACCCGCCCTTATAGGTTTGCATCATGACCGGCCAATAATCATAGATTACCTACGGCCTCCATACAAATAAACCTTTGAATAGAAAGTACGGGGCTTAGCGGAAGTCTAAAATGACATAGAAATTATCCATTGACCCGTGCGTATATGAAGAGAACTAGTATAATAAGCAAAATTTGTTCCAAAAGTACATTTATCACAATTGTACAAATTCATGTCATGTAAATATACAAACCCCAACTATACACAAATACAAAACCACTAAACAAACAAAAAGGGGTTCAACTAGCATGGCTCCACCTGAGCCTGGTTACTTCACTTGGAAGCTCCTCAAAAGGTTAACCCGGGTAAAGTCGAGGCTTTCTTAACTTTGATGTTCAGCTTGCCCACCTACATATATATAAATAAGTAGTGAGCTAGGGCCTAGTGAGTAATAACAGAATAAAGAGGTTATGTGAATGAAGTTCGATAACATGCTAATCAAATTCTCGTTTTAATTCTCAATATCCAATAAATTTCATGGTCGATGTCATTTAATATCAAATTAAGCGGCACACCCATGAACAATAATATTCCAATCACAGTGAGACGTAAACCAATGGACCGCGAAGGGTCAAACCAATGGACCATGGAGGCTCAAACCAATGGACCATGTTACAGTTTCATAGGTGAACTTCATTCATCGAAGGAAAGTAACATTTTAATCAACCAATCAATCAAACACGTAACTGTA